ATTCTAGAACATTATGTTGACGTAAGTGCTGGTACAGTGCGATTGAAAATGGACCTGACACCCAGTTAATTGGTCTTATTTTACACTACACACAAGTAAGTCTTTCTTCAGTCATAAAACATATATAAGATACATAAATTACAAGAAGGAAGTTATCATCACTTTATCTCATTTTCTTTTACCTCGTGTGGGTAATGGATCCTTTGAGTCAATCTGAGCTTAAAAAGGGTAAAACAAATGTAATTTTATGCCTTCACATTACTACAGTGGTGCTGTATATCTCAAATATATATTAAAACCTGAGAAACAACCTCGTGTTTGCAAATGTCAGAGCTGAAACTCAAAAGAAATTTACTCTTAACCACAGAACTAATAATACAGCATACAAGGCAAAGATTGCTGCATTATAGGAATTACTGTATATTTAAATCAAATTAATTTAAATTATCATATCACCACTTACCAGCTTATTAGCTACTATTTGGGCAGTCAGTCTGTTCTTTGTTATGACCATTATTCAATATTGGTACAGAAGGAAACAAGAGTACCCCGAGAAAATCTGCAATGTTTGGTGGGGTCACACAGTAACATTGGAAAAACACCCTTCTCACATCTGTCCCAGACCAAGAAATTGAACGCAAGACAACACACTTGTCACCACTGTACTACCTTATTATGTGGAAAAAGTTAAAGTGGGTCCTGTAAATCTGATGGTCTACAGAATACTGTACTCTACTATGTCTTCAGTACACAAACAGACAATTGTCTTCACTTCCTCAACTGTAAAACTAAAGTATGGTGGATTTGTGACGTATCTTTTCTGCCACTTCTAGCATCTATATGTCAACCAAAATATGGTCAGCTTCAAACCCAACACTGAATTTCTATATATATAAGAAAACAATTCAATATGCAGATAGAGTAAATAATACAGTACTGAGTATGAGTAGAAATAAAGTCTGTTTCCAATGCGTGGGTCTGAGAATCTCTGCTTTAGAGTTAAAAGCCTCAAACTTCACTTAAGGGTACAGTACAGGTAACATAGACTTATAAGGAAAGTACTGTACAGGTACGTCCGATACATATAAAATAAACATTACGAGTATTATAACATGAACCTACATGACATTTAACAATGACCAACATGGAAAATAAGCCAGTTGAACTTCCATAGTAGTCTATCAGGACCAAAGCACAGTGCAGCAACTGATGTTAAATAAGTGCCATTGAAACTTTCAACCAAGAAATATGAACTATACCTTCTTGATTACCTAATAAGAAACACAAGATAGTTACAGTATGTCTGCTAAACATTGGGTTGGATGCACAGCGGCTTTACTGTTACCAGGGTGGGCATAGTGAAGAACCCAGCACTAAAGACAATGTCGATGTGAACTTAAGGACATGTCATATGCTGGATTTGAAGTATTTGACCAACAAAATGTAGTGCTCCCTCACTTAGGGTACTGTACTGTAATTCTGTTTTGTTTCCAACATATACCCAAAAATTGCTTAATGATTAAGAACATCTAAGTCGATGTCAACACTTACACACCTCATTTAACAAGAGAAATTAGAACATCTTCAATCACTTTTTTGTAGTATAGAAGGACAAGGGGGTAAAATAGAGATTATAACCACCTCAAAAGGCATTACTCAGTCAAGTGTACAGAGGTAATAGCCATAAGTTAAAGATGTTATTACTGTAGTAATGAGAAACAGAAAATCATCAGAACTAATTTCTGTGGAGTAAGGATTCTGAACTCATGGAATAAATTGCCAGACAATGCTGTGGCAGCACTAAGTATAAGCTGCTCTAAGACCAGACTTGACCAAAACTTTATATGTTTAGGTACATTCAATAGCCTGTACATGGCTAGTACTAACTAACAGCACATAACAGTTAGTAAACTGATAAGTGGAGAAGTGGATAAACATAAAGGTAACTGAAAAGGTTACACAGCTGTCATGCAGTAAAGACATGTCTCTGAATTGTAATCTTTGTGTAGACTGGAGAGACTGTTGTCAGAGCATGTACAAGGAAGGTCTATACTGTATAATATCGAGTCCTTGATGTACTATTCCCTTCTCTCCCACAAGGTTGGCAATCAATCCCACACTGGAAATCTACATATTAAATATTAAAGTCAAAATATGTTATCTTTTGTTTTAAAAGATTTTGACTGATCCAAATGAATAGAAATTGCATTCCTGTATTTCTACCACTTAACTCAAAGGATCCTTTTTCTTCTATGAATGAGATGCACATTTCATACTATACTCATGAATTAAACTTTTGAAAACCAGATGGTATTAGTTTTCTCCTTGTGAGAAACACTGCCTAAACTACTTTAGTAACTGGTGTCTGAAGTAACTCACATTTATCATGGAGACACACTAAAGGATTTATCAACCAACTTTTTGGTTAATAAAACTGTATGTCATTTTTTTTTTGACATGTAGTACACACTTAATGAATACATGGCATTACTTAGTTAAAAACCTAAGGATGTGACGTGTAATAAAGTCCAGTCATGTTTAGAAGAAGTTTAGCATCCCAAGCTTATTTCATCATCGTACTGTACAGATTTGATGACAATATTCTGGTTTTCAACAAATAGGTTTTATAACCATTTATGAGTCATATAATTTGCTAAGGTTCACAACATCAATAGCAACTTCTCCTCTCGGTATGTAATAAGTCTGAGGTACAAAATAAAATCTGACAGCCTTCAATACTACCTGATCATAACCAAATTTTGCCACCTCAAATCTCTTTCTGATATGGCAGCTAAACACTAGATTTACTAAATTTCACTGAATACTTGAGGCCACTAAAATTACTTTCGATACGTGAATATTTTCAGAAGCATTGCCATGTATATCCACAAAATAACAGACAAATTTCAAGTAAAATTAACATGTTTCACTTTCCAACAGATCTAGAGAACTGTATCATCTCTTGCAACATGTAGTTATTATTTTCTACAACATGTGAAGGAACACAACTACTAACTTTTAAGACATAACAATGCAGACATAGAAAATAAACCAGCTTATAATAAGTTCATGACACTGACACCCTGGTGTAACATCACAGTACTTGTCATCATCTTGTTACCATACAGCACAGGTGGTTATTTTGTCACAAGTGAGCAACAATGACTATGAAGGGACACAGGTGGTGGCAACAAGACACAGGTGATCATCACAAACTTCATCATAAGACAGGACGTGGTTAGTCATATGTCGTGAATTGGAAGTCTTAACTACAATGGTAAATCATCGTATATGTCTGGCAGGATTAACCACAATGGCTTGGCAGCCTTCACCACTGTAGTTGGTAAATTATCAGTATGGTTTTATAGCCTTCATCACTGTGGTCAGTAACAATCATAAAGGTCTGGCAGTCTTCACCACCATGGTCTAGGTCAGGGGTGTCAAACATGCGGCCCGACACACTCTTGCATGTGGCCCGTGGCCCATTTGCTGCTCCAGCTTTACCTTGAGGAGCTAAAACAAAATAGTGAGTGTATCCCTCAGCTGAATAAAATAGTCTGCTGTTTCCTAGAACAAAATACTCAATCAACATCACCAATGAAAGAACAATAAGACTAGAGATAGTTTTAACGGTTAATTGTGGTTGTAAGCGTGCCACTGTACGAGTTGTGTGACTGGCTGACTGACTACTGATCACGTATACACTCCGTACAGTGCAGGTATTAGACATGAAAACTTTGACGAGGCAGAGGACGCAATAAATTGGTGACAGAGTTTTATGACTGCATTCGTGCCTTTGATATGAAACTTCAGTTTTTCAAACAGCAACTATCAGAGAGTAATCTTTCTCACTTTCCGACCTTGAAGTCCCTGCAAGACACACCTGAGTTTCATGCTGATATCAACACAAAAAAGTACTGCATCAAGATTTCCAAATTAATGAATGAGTTCCAAGAAAGGTATGCTGACTTTAAAAGACTTGGGAAGGATTTTTTCATTTTTCGGGACCCATTCTCTGTTGGTGTTAATGAGGTACCAGAACATCTTCAGTTAGAATTAATTGAGCTCCAGTGTGATTCTGTGTTGAGGAACAAGTTTTCGAGTGTTGATGTTGGCACATTTTATCAATATTTTGGACCAAATTATCCCAGGATTAAATGTTTTGCCTCAAAGATTATGTCAATGTTCGGAATACATATGTCTGTGAACAACTCTTTTCTGCGATGAACTTGAACAAGTCTCGGCTTTGGTCTCAACTTACTGATGCGCATCTTAATTCATTGCTGAAGGTTGCTACAGCTCAGTCGTTACTGCCAAACTTTGATGCACTGGTCCATACCAAGAGGTGCCAATTATCAGGAAGCAGAAGTAGCAAACAATAAGATTGATCAAGGTAAGTAAACACTTGATTTGTTTGTTTTTAAGGGTTTCGCACGAGCGCAGACTAAATCCACCTTTCTTATTTTGTCGTACTACTCACCTAAGAGGTGATTGCGAAGTGCTCATAATTATGTTACTTGGCCCGCATACTGTGTACTCATATTAAATCTGGCCAGCCTTGGCAAATGAGTTTGACACCCCTGGTCTAGATCTAGATCTAGATATCTTTCACAATGGTCTTGTAGTCTTCGTATGAATGGTCTGGTAGCCTTGAATAGTGGTTAAAAAGTTTTCTAAAAGGTTTGGAAGCCTTTACCAAGATGATCTAATAGATGTCACTACTGTACAACTGTCTGTAACCTTTTAGCACAATAGTCAGGCAGCCTTTATCATAATGGTTTGGTAACCTTTTATATCATGGATGGGAAGCCCTAAGGCATCTTACACCATAGAGGTCTCATACCTCTGTCACAAGTGTATTTATAGCTTTTACTGTAAAGTTTTACAAAGGTCTTGTAGCATTTTATCGTACAGATCTTCTTGGTAGAACGAGACAAGTTCTTGGGAATAACAATAAACTTTAGGGAGCAACAGACAACTTTTGGGAAGTAACAGACAACTTGTGGATAGTGGTTGTTAACTTCTTCAAAACTAGAATACAAGTTCTTGGTAACAATATAACATTTTTGGTAACCAGAAACAACTTTCTGTTGAAATACTACTCCTGGACAAATGTGGCATTCTAATGAAGAGAGAAATTTCAAAGGTAAAGGACACATTTACAGTGCTGTATGCTGTATATACTGTACTGTAATATGCATAATTTCTACTGGTCACACTGAATGTTATTAGAGTATTATTCTTTAGCTATACATCCAAATATCTTCTTTCATACTAAGGACTCATCTCTCAGACTGTCATAAAATGATTGTTTGTTTTTTTTCACTTTAGGAGGACTATAGTTTTTTCTGCAAAAATGCTAACTATGTCTATTGCAAAGAGTTTTGCATTTTCAACACATTTCCACCATACTACATAGTAAACAATAGCTTACTAAAATAAATGCCAATGGTGAAAACAATTACAAGTCACAAAACAAGTGCCAAGATGGCGACTTGCTGACTGTGAGGTAAAATGAACCATCTCATTCCACCCTCATACCGACGCTTCCTCAATCACTGTAATACTGCGGTGGTTGCCCGATTTAATTTGTGCTCTCTGGTTGCTTGCACTGGGAGCCTCATGGGTGGAAGACGACGAAGAGGAGGAAGAGGCGGCACCTCCTTTATCTGGGGGTTTATCTATTTTTTTGGGAGAGTCCTTACAATTAAATGAAGACGACTGCTTCGTTATGGACATGAGACGTTTTCTCCCTCGTCTATCTAAGATATAAGGTATTTCATTTGTTTTTACTAGATTGTTTTCATATTCACTCATCAAGAGATAGTTCTCAACTTTGTCACATGAAGTAATACAATCCCCGAGGTATTCCAGATCCTCTAAAAGGTGATCAGGGATATCCATGTCTGCTATGCCTTCTTCAGAAATACATGTGAGTTCAGGTTTGTTCCTTGCCTCTGGAGTTTCAAAGGCAATGGATCGCTGGTGAAGGAGTGCGAGGGACGAAGTGTGTGCTTTGAGTGGTTCACGGGTCAGTTGGGCCAAGGAGTCCCGCCTCCGGCTCTCTGGACACGTCTCTTTAACACAGGTGTTGCTACCGCCAGATCTGGAAAACAAATACAGTGTAAGATTACTTGAAAAAAAGCAATGGAGGGAGTATTTCTTAGGCAGTCAGGGCAGAAAATAAATATTTCAAATAAACTGTTCAGTATATAAATAAGTTAGAGAAGGTTGGGATAGGTTTGACAATGTAGACAAACATAATAAATAAGGTTTTTATATCTAACAAGCAACAATGCACAGGATAGTTATGTACAAGATAGTTATGCAACTGAGGAACACTGCAGTCAGGAACACTAGGGTCAAAGGTTATAAAAGAAAAATGGGTACGTACAGTGTGTATACAGTGCTGTCAAAAGTGGGAATGAGACAAAATAAGCTAAAATGGATATGTAAAAAAAAAAAGGTGAAAATAATGAAAGTGAAGAAGGTAGAAGAAAGAATGTTGCAAAAATATCAGGAAGGGAAGCCTAGATGGGCAAAGATGGAAAGGGATAACAGCCTGAGATGGATATAGAGGACACAGAAGGGAAGACGTGTACTCAAGACGGTGGAAGGGGAGACTGGAAAGGCAGAGGAGGAATAAAGTAATGTGGGAAATAGAGACAATCAGAAAGGAAGGGGGAGGAGAAGACTACAGTCGAAAGATGGACACCTGAGAAGAACAGTGTGCCATTGATGTAATGAAGGGCTACTGATCTTTAATAATTAAGGCCAGTACAGGGAGAGGATGTTTTTGAAGAGTCCAAGAGGTGTAAAATTAAATTAAAGGGAGGGGACTTACTTATCGTCAGGTGTATCTACAGATCCCCAAACTGTGGTCCACTAAATCAAAGGAACTTAAGAACCTTAATAAACAATTCGGCGATGCTCAACCCTAGCCACCTCCTTATCATGGGGGACTTTAACTATGGCGACATCGACTGGAGAAACGAGTCCACCCCGAATGACTTGAATAACCCTGCTACTCTTTTCGTAGAAACTCTGAGAGATAATTTTCTGTTCCAACATGTTAAGAGACCCGACACATTACAGAGGGGAGCAAACACCCAAGCCACTTGACCTCATCATAACAAACGAGGAGGGTATGGTGGCCAAACTGGAACACCTTGCCCCTGTTGGCACCAGTCACCATACAGTGTTGTCATTCAGATTTAACTGTTACCTAGTTCAGGATAAGGCCAGGCCAAGGTGCAAATATTACAAGGGAAATTACAATGGGATGAGGGAAGAGATGAGGGGTATCCGCTGGCCTGACTTATTAAGGTACAAGAACGCAGACACTACGCTGAATATCATAACTAGTAAAGTGACCCACTTGATCGATAAATATATACCCAAGACCAAACCCAGTGCTTCTAGGAATACGAGGGGATCCCTACACATGAACCATGCGGCAGTCGACAAAATTAAGAAGAAAACCCAGAAATTCAAGATGTGGGTTGGGTCAAACGATGAGCAAGACAGGAGGATGTATGCAAGAGCCAGAAACCAAGCAAAGATAGAGTGTAGAAGGGCTGAAAAGGAGTTCCAGAGGCTGGTTGCAAGCGAGGTCAAGTCAAACCCAAAGGCATTTTACCGCTATGCAAAGTCGAAATTGAAAACGCGAGTAGTAGTAGTATCAGACCTGAGGCTGGTTGATGGTAGTTACGCAGATTCTGACCAGGATAAAGCTGAGGCATTGAACAGCTTCTTTTCCTCGGTGTTCACGAGAGAGGATGCAACTAACCTTCCTGTGTTTGAGGACAGACGGTTCGACACAGCACTGACCCACATTGTGTTCACAGAAGAGGGTATTAGAAATAAACTGTCCAAGTTAAAGGTCCATAAGAATCCCGGACCTGACATGGTGCATCCTAGAGTGCTAAGAGAGTTGTGCAACGAGCTTGCAGAGCCCTTGAAGATCCAGTTTTGTAAATGCCTGGATGAACAAATGGTCCCCAATGAATGGAAAGTGGCTTATGTGAGTCTTATCTTCAAGAAGGGCGATCGTCGCTCCACGAACAACTATAGACCGGTGAGCCTGACCAGCATAATATGTAAAGTACTTGAGAGTATTATCAGAGATGATGCAATGGAACATCTAATACAAAACAACCTTGTAAAAGATTGCCAACACGGTTTTATGCCGGGGCGCTCCTGCTTAAAACAATTGCTCAAGGTATTGGATATTTAGACCCATATTCTGGAACGGGGTGGTAATATCGACAATATTTACCTAGATTTTGCCAAGGCGTTCGACAGTGTACCCTATGAAAGGCTGAAAATCAAACTGGAAGGGTACGGAATTTGGGGAAATGTCCTAGTGTGGATAGAAGACTTTTTACATGACCGCAAGCATTGTGTGGTGATTAATGGCACGAAATCGTCATCTGTACCTGTCACAAGTGGGGTACCACAGGGCAGTGTATTGGGCCCGCTGTTGTTTGTTTGTTTCATAAATGACATGCCTGAAGTTGTACACTCCTCCATACAAATGTTTGCCGATGACGCCAAGTTATTTCGGGAAATTAAGAACCAAGCGGACTGTGAAGAACTGCAGAAGGACCTCTGTGGGCTCCAGGAATGGTTGAAGAAATGGCTGCTGAGATTCAATGTCACGAAGTGTAAGAGGATGCACCTGGGGCGTACCAATGGTAAGGAGGCATATCATATGTTCCAACGGGATGAAGAAACTGCACTAGTTGAGACTGTGTGTGAGAAGGACCTAGGTGTGTATGTTGACAATGAGCTGAAGTTCTCGGGCCATTGCGAGAAGAAGGTAAATCAGGCAAATAAATTATTGGGTCTTATAAGAAGGTCGTTCAGATATCTAGACGGTCCGTCCCTCATAACGATCTTCAGGAGTGAAGTGCTTCCCCATCTGGAGTACTGTCACCCCATCTGGTCCCCGAGATATGCTAGGGGCTGTCAGTTGGTTAAAAATGCTCAAAGGAGGGCCACCAGACTGGTGCCTGCACTTCGGCACCTCAGCTACCCTGAGAGATTGGAGCGCCTGAACTTGCCTAGCTTATACTACAGACAAGCAAGGGGGGACCTAGTTGAGGTGTATAAGCATCTCAGGGGGCACTACTCAGTTGAGTGTCCTTACTTGGAGCTGGCGGATGCTCGCCCCACAAGGGGTTACAGCTCAAGATTGAAGAAGCCGCAAGTCCAGAATAACCGTGAGGGCAAACTTTTTTGGAGTGAGGGTTGCAAACTCTTGGAACAATCTACCAGAGAGTGTTGTGACGGCACCGGGTGTGAGCTCTTTCAAGACAAGACTTGATCAACACTGGAGCGGGTTCAGGTACATTCAGGAGCAGGTGCATGCCCAGTATTTGCCAACAGTACGTGACAGAGACGTGACCAATCGCCTGGGCGGCTAGCGAGCCGATCTTTTGGTGAAGAAGATAAATGAAAAGAGACGTGACCGATCGCCCAAGTGGCTAACAAGCCTATCAGTGGCGAAGAGGATAAAAGTATTAAGTGTGTATTCTAGGTTAGTAAATATACTAATCAAACACTAAATATTCAAAGAGATGGTTCTTGAAGACTTAAGTATTTCAGGGTAAGAGTGATACTGTACAGTAGGTCTCTTTCTAAAAGAAATTTGGCATGCAGGTCTGTATCAACATAGGCTAATTACACGCACGCCAGTATATAAATATTTATTTTTTTATTTTTTATTTTTATTTTTTTACGGGGATTAGCCCACCCGGGCACAGGTCACTGACCCACATCATGGCCTGGGGGGCAAAAATATTATAATAATAATAATAATACAATATTACCCCGCTTTACTCGGTTTCACTTTACGCGATTTCTGATATACGCGGTGCCTCGCCAGAACCGAACTTTCACTTTCCGCGGTTCATCTACCCTTATACACGCAGAGTGTCCGGCTTGACGCTATTTTTAGATTCGCCCCACCCGCCTGCTCCCGCCTCCTCCCTCCTCCCGCCTCCGCCTGGGCAAGCCGCGTGGTAAGGTTGCGCAGTGCATGTCTCTGTTGCGTTATCACTGACGTCATATGACGTATCGGACTGTGATTGGCCATGCATCCCTACCCCTCTCTGCCGCAACCCACCACAGCCAGCCAGAGCCAGTGATAGTGACAGTGAAGGTGACTTTGAGGGATTTGTCAGGGAAGCCCTGACAACTGTAACTGATAGTGATGGTGATGCACCTAGTAATGGTGAGTCACCTGAGGGCCAGTAATCTGCCCTCTGCCTCGGAACCAGCCTCCATCTCCGTATGCCGACCCATCTCTTCTACTAACGTAAGTGTTACACCTAACTTTTAGTTTTCCTAACCTAACCTCTTCTATATTACTTGTTTGTGCATACCATCATAAAGTTAAGATAAAATTTTTACTACAACATAGTTGTGTGTTGTCAAAAAGTGGAGTTTGGGGGTCGGGCCAGTCTCTATTGGAATTAATCCCATATGTTCTGTTGTTCCATTTAAGCGGATTTCACTTTCCGCGGTACCCTGTGGGTTCAATTGACCGCGTAAATTGGGGCACTACTGTAATAATAATAATAATAATAATAATAATAATAATAATAATAATAATAATAATAATAATAATAATAATAATAATAATAATAATAATAAAAATAATAATAATGATAATAACCATAAATAAATACAAAAATGAAAAAATATTATCAATATAGGTACCCTGTAGTGGGAAATTATATATGTATGTTGTGTTGTCAAAGTAAGAGAAACAATTGAGACCCTGAAAATGTGTGTAAATGAGGCAGAAAGTCAGATGAGCAGCCTGGGACTTGGCCACAAATTTTGTGATACCATATGGCGGCAGAGTCTACCATTAGACAACACATTATGCTTCCAATATCTTCCCAGGCGGTAATATCTCCCTGTTTGATAGCTGCCTACTATCTACTACCCATAAAACTAGTATATACAATCTTTAATAACTAATATGGTAGAAGGTGTAACTTACAAGTGTAAATATTCCCTGAAAACCCCAAGAATTACAAGAACTAAGACAACATACAAATTCATACTTTCAGGAGGTTCCTTAGCCGAGTTGAATGATGGAGAGGTTCCTCAATTATAGGTAAATCAAGGTCAGGTAGTTCATGAGTGTACCCAGATGCATCTCCAAAGGTTTGGACGCCCACTGTGGTATCTTCAACTCTATCTCTGGACAGTGAATCATTTATTTTCCCAGGGGGAGCAAGATCTTGGGTAGACAGATTCTCGGCTATTACGATAACGTACATGAGCATAATTTTGAGTGACACCTATGAGAACCACCGATTCTACCAGAGGGACTTTTACATTTATCTACAAACACGCATAATAACACAGGTCCAGGAGGTGAGAGCCAGGAGGGATGGAAGTAACTGTTGATTGACTTCCGGGGAAAAGAAAACAATCTTTCTTGAGGTTTCTCATTAGCAGCGGTAGGAGTAATGAGCGGATGGAATGAAGAACTGTGACAAGTATCATTTCCTGTTGAGTTTCGGGTAAGTTGCAGGATCAAAGAGCCAGCCTAACAGCTTTCCTGATTGTTAAAAATTTTTTTTCACACTGTTCATTTCCCTTTAGATGATAGGGGGTAGTAGGAGTCATAATAACTTCTTTATCCATTTGGAATTTATGCACCTCTCAAGACATGTACTGAGTGCCTCGGTCAGAATGTATGGAGGAGGGATATTCAAACAAGAAGAAAACCTTTGTGAAAGCATAAGGTCAGGTCACTGTCTGAGCAGACAAGTCTACACTATGGTATGTAAAGGGGAAGCAGGAGGTGCATAAACAACCCAAAGGGCACTACTCAGTCGAGTGTCCATACCTGGAGCTGGCGGACGCCCGCCCAACAAGGGGTCACAGCAGCAAGTCCAGAAAACTGTGAGGGCAAACTTTTTCATAGTGAGAGTCATGCACTCTTGGGAAAACCTGCCAGAGAGTGTTGTGACAGCATCAAGTGTGAGCTGTTTCAAGACCAGACTTGATCAGCATGTTCAGATACATTGCCAACAGAGCATAACAAAGACGTGATCAACCGTCCAAGCGGCTAACGAGCCACAGGTGAAGAGGATAAAAGTAAAAGTATCAATCACAAGTAAAAGGTACTTGTTTTTAGATATTGACGGTTCAGGTCCAACGAAGTCCATTGATATCCTGTCGAAGGGTTGGACAGCCTGGATAAGATGGCTAGGTGGTGGTCTGAAGAAGTGAGGTTTTAGCTAAATGCAGATAACACTGGATGCATGTCTTTTTTCTGTCTTCCAGTTCAGAAGGGATCAACCACCTTGAGGAATCCACTTGAACTCCGGTGTAAACGATAATATAAAATCACCTAACTCAAATCTAAACTTATAAATATATACTTGAAACATAAACAACTTAAAAACTAATAATACTGTAGTTAGATAACTAAAACAGTAGTAATACTTTAAATAAGCAAATTAACAAATAAATGAATATATAATAATAATTATAATAATAATAATAATAACAATAACAACTGAATATATAATAATAATAATAATAACAACAATAATAACTGAATAACTAACAAAAATAATAACAATTGAATAGTTAACTCACAAATACAGTTCTATTAATACCTGTAATAATCACTCACGATCAATCAGAGTAATGGCCTCACATCTGAGGGTTGGTGACCACAGTCCTCCACTCTCAACGTTCTCGGGCTGTTCTTACCAATCCTCTAAGGTTTTGTATCTCTCTGGGGACCCAATTTTTAATTTCATTCATCCATCCCAGTCTGTGCCTTCCCATGGCCCCTCTACCCTCAACTTCGCACATTAATATTTCTGTCATTATCTACTCAATCCCTGTTTATATGAACACTAGACTATTTAAACAACAATAATAAGTAAATAATTGTATAAAAATTATAATTAAATTAACAACAATAATAATAATATAGTAAAAATAATCTTACTTGCGTGAGTGTTTGTGCTTGGCAGCGTTCCTCCTATGTATGTCTATAAGGAATATGGTCATGGAGCCAAAGATGACGAAGGTGGAGGAGAAGTAGTAGCCTGCCTTGTCTCCATAACCGATGTTGATGTAACCTGCGGATGACGAGAGGGTGGGGTAGTCTGCATGGTTGTCAAAAGCACCAGACTTTGTTACTTAAGTGAAAGTAATGTTACATTGGAATAATGGTACTCTAGTTGAAGTAAATGTATCCAAAGTTCAATGTACTCAAGTAAAAGTAAAAAAGTATCTCGTTTATAAAGTACTCAAATACTGAAAGTAAAAAGTAACAAAAAATTATTGTCTCAAATATTAAAATAATTCCACAATAAATTATAAAAAAAAAATAGTTAACTAAAGATAAAAATAAGACACAAAGCATTACACATGTTTATTTGCAAATCTTTTTATTGAGATCAATCAATAACTAATTCTCGAAATGATGGCTGTGCAATCAAGATCTCTTAGGCCTAAATATAAGCCCAGCATGACCTACCAAAAGAGAATAGTACATTTAGCTGCTCTTCTCCCTACAATCCATCGCAGGGATAGTGAATGGGCTGAAAATATATCCATCCAACACTGTGATCACTTTCTTCCTTATCCCTTACTACTACTACTTTGCTGTCACTTGGAACCGAGTATGACGATCATCCAGCTATGTTGCAATGATATGAGTTATTACAGCTGTCACCAACGATGATGAGTTCCGAGGTGACTAAGAGGCCGATACGGGACCTGCAGGGTCGATCACAGATGTTGAACATGTGGGGGGTTACATCTAGTGTGGGAAGGGCAGCGGTAGCGTCTTACCGACGTTGGCGCTTGTCTGCCTCGTTATGCAGTCGGGCTAATTCCATGTGTTATGATGTGGAGTAATCGTCTCCCAGGTGAGGGGGCCGATTTGGCACTTTTTCAGGTTTGTCTTAAGACTATCCTTATACCTTTTCAGTTGCCTACCAGCGTTACATTTACTATTCGTTAGGTGACTGTAAACTAGCTGCTTTGGCAGTCTACTGTCGTCCATGCGGGGAACATGGCCAGTCCAGCGTAGTTGTTCATGGATAATGGATAGCCTCGATGCTCCTACATTTGGCATCAGCAAGAATACTGGAATTTGTTCTCTTGTCTTCCCAGCGAACTCAGAGGATGGAACGTAGACTACGTTGGTGAAAGTTTTCAAGTGCCTTGAGGTGCCTCCTGTATGTGACCCATGTCTCGCTGCCATATAGCAGGGTGGGGAGGACCACTGCTCGATATACGTGTAACTTTGCAGATAATTTCAGCTCCCTACAGCTGAAGACACGGTTTCGGAGTCTGCCAAAGGCTTGAGATGCACATCTGATCCGATGCTGAACCTCTTCATCGATGTGCGCGGTGGTGGACAGGTGGGAGCTGAGATACAGAAAGTGGGTAACATTAGAGAGGGCAGTGCCGTTAACCCCTTCGCTGCGGGAGGTTACCCTAAGCTGAATAAAATCGTCTGACGGAGGCCAGAATAAAACCGTCTGGCACTAGCAAGAATAAAATCGCCTACCGACACCTTTGTTCCTGCCTGGAGTCGTCTTATGTTGAAAAGACCCTTCATCCGGTATCCGATGTCCACCCCACAGGCTAAATTGGCACTGGCACAAGTAAGGAAGGCAGCCAAGAAAATGGAAAAGAGAGTTGGTGACAGTATGCACCCTTGTTTATCCCCCATTTGGATGGGGAAGAACTCAGACTGGGTGCCATCGTGCAGGACACTGTTGTTCATGCCATCATGGAGTTGCCTCACAATGGCGATGAATTTTGGTTGGCAGCCAAAATGGCTGAGGGTTCATCAGAGGACTTCCCTGTTGACCGAGTCGAAGACCTTGGTTAAGTCGATGAAGGCCATGTACAGGTCACGACGCTGTTCTCTGCACCTTTACTGTATCTGGCGGGCAGCAAAGATCATGTCAGTGACGCCACATGATAGCCTAAAGCCACATTGAGATTCTAGGAGGAAGTTTTCCGCCTCAGGAAGAAGTCACACTGCCATCATCCACCTCACACTACCACCATCCACCCTACGCTACCACCATCCATTACACACTACCACCATCCATCCCACGCTACCACCATTCACCACTACTACCATCCACCTCACACTACAACCACCCACACCACACTACCACCACTCACAATCCCCACTACCAGTATCCACAGCCTCCATTACTACTAATCACAATCTCACACTACCATCAACCACTTCACACTACCGCCAATCACACCACACTACCACCATTTTTGAATCACAGCGTCTAATGGGAAGACCAAGCCCCTGAAGGAAAGGTGGGGGAGAAGAGAGGAGATTCGATGGGTAAGGGGGGATAAGATGTAGTCTTAAATAGTATATATCACCTGAAGATTAAGCATCCCAGATTACTTCACCTGATGATTAAACACCCTAATGCTTCCTGGAGGGGTTAGGTTAGCTTGTTTAATCACTTGGTGAAATAAGTTGAGGTGCATATACTTTGGGTGGATGTAAACAATTGATATAAATCTCACCTGTTATGGGGACGCCAATAGCCGTGGGGATGGCCTGAGAGCACTGGACAAAACCCCACGTCCTGGCGAAGTTCCTGGCGCGGACCTTCTCGTAGGTGTACATCTTGAGGGAGTAGTGGAACCCCCCGCAGAAGATGCCGTACAGCCATGCAAAGAGCACATAGCCGTGGTAACCTGCTGGGAACAGGCAAGGTCAGATCACCCACATCAACAGTCGACTTCCAGAGCTAAGGTCATTAAGGTCAATGTCTATCTCACTGGCTCCCAGAGTTTAGGTCACTTGGGTCAATGTTTGACTTTCAGAGCTTAGGTTACAGCGTGTTCACTGGGGGGGGGGGGTTGACTTGTAGTTCCTGTCATGTTAGGTTGGGTTAGGTTAACTTTAGGGTGAAATAAACTGGGGTGTCTAATCTTCATTTAAATCTCCGTGGTGTAGATTAATACAATATAACCTTTTTTTCTATATTTTCAATTTCTTTCCATTCTTTTTTTCGCCCCCCAGGCTCCGTTGTGGGTCGTTTGACCTGTGCTCGGGTGGGCTAATTCCCGTGTAAAAAAAAAAAAATGGGGTATCTAATCCTCAGGCGACTCAGTTTTCTTCATCATTCAGCTGTATTCAATCAGTTTCTGTAATGATCTAAACTTTTGTATTCTTATTCTCTCACAATATGTAGAGTACCAAAAGCAGATCACTACCTTCCCCTATTAAGATAACTTAAGCTACTGTTTGACGATACATGAACATTCTTACTCAGATGAACAACCAAAGAACAGTATATGTAATCATGAGATGTACAGTATCATGCTGGCAACCGTCCCGTAAATTCCGTAATACCCAGTGTGTTACGTTACCGCCCTCTCTCGCAGCTACATTAAACAACATTTTTCCACGACACGACCCGAGATTAAATCCAAGCGGGAAATCATTAGACACGGGTTGTGTTGTGTCGATAGCCTCGAGGGGAAGCAGATCAGGATGGTGGGTGATAAATAAACCTCAGGGGGTGGAGGGGGGTTGGAGGTTGGAAGGCGATAGGGGGTTTGGGAAGAGGGATTGATGGTGGAGGATGGAAAGTAGAGGCGGGGAAGGACGGGAGAGAGGATTTTGGGGAGGGAGAAAGGATGTGAGGGAGGGAGAGAGGATTTGAGAGTGAGAAAGGATCTGAGGGAGGAGAAAGGATTTGAGGGAGGGGAGGATTTGAGGGGAGGGAGAAAGGATGTAGTGGGAGGAGAAAGGATTTTGAGAGTGGGAGAAAGGATCTGAGGGGGGATATAAGGGAGGAGAAAGGATATGAGGGAGGTAGAGAGAGGAAATGAGGGAGGGAGAGAGGATTTGAGGAGGGAGATTTGAGGGAGAGGGGATGAGGGAGGGAGAAAGGATCTGAGAGAGAGGGAGAGAGGATTTGAAAGGGGAAAGAGGATTTGAGGGTGAGAGAGGATTTGAGAGAGGAGAGAGGATTTGAGTGGGAGGGAGAGGAGGATTTGGAGAGAGGGAGAGAGGATTTGAGGGAGGGAGAGAGGATTTGAGGGAGGGAGAGAGGATTTGGAGGGAGGGAGAGAGGATTTGAGGAGGGAGAGGATTTGAAAGAGGGAAAGAGGATTTGAGGGAGGGAGAGAGGATTTGAGAGAGGGAGAGAGGATTTGAGGGAAGGAGAGAGAGAGACTGAGGGAGGAGAGGATTTGAGGGAGTGAGTGATTTGAGAGAGGGAGAGAGATTGAGAGGGAGGATTTGAGGAGGGAGAGGGATTTGGAGGGAGGAGAGAGGATTTGAGGGAAGGAGAGAGAGAGGATTGAGGAGAAAGCTTGCATAAAATATATGGGATGGTCAATTATGAGAAAATGACAAGAGAGAGAGAGAGAGAGAGAGAGAGAGAGAGAGAGAGAGAGAGAGAGAGAATTTTGTGGAAGAGGGAGATAAACGATGTATCCGATAGGAGAGGGAAGAAAAGTGATAAAGATGGGGTAAAAGTAATGAGGAAAATATGGTAAAAATAAAGAATAAAGACATAAACACTAAAATAATAACTACCGAGATTTATCCCTTGACAAGTTTCACCTCTCCTCCTCCTCCTCCTCCTCCTTTCATTCCTCCACCTCCTCCTTTCACAATATATAAAAATCAAATGGGAATGACATGTTAGTTCTAAAAATGAACTTATTCCTGTTTAAAACTTCTGTTGGAACCCCGTAAAATGAAACTTCTGTTGGAACCCCGTAAAATGAAACTTCTGTTGGAACCCCGTAAAATGAAACTTCTGTTGGAACCCCGTAAAATGAAACTTCTGTTGGAACCCCGTAAAATGAAACGTCTGTTGGAACCCCGCAAAATGAAAACCCAATAGAACCCCGTAAAATGAAAACCCTATTAGAACCGTGTAAAATGAAACTTCTATTGGAACCCCGCAAAATGAAACTTGTTGGAACTAAAATGAAACTTGTTGAACCCCGTAAAATGAACCCCGTGTTGAACCCCGTAAATGAAACTTCTGTTGGAACCCCGTAAAATGAAACTTCTGTTGGAACCCCGTAAAATGAAACTTCTGTTGGAACCCCGTAAAATGAAACTTCTGTTGGAACCCCGTAAAATGAAACTTCTGTTGGAACCCCGTAAAATGAAACTTCTGTTGGAACCCCGTAAAATGAAAACCCTATTAGAACCCTGTAAAATGAAAACCCTATTAGAACCCCGTAAAATGAAAACCCTATTAGAACCGTGTAAAATGAAACTTCTATTGGAACCCCGCAAAATGAAACTTCTATTGAAACCTATACAATGAACTTCCTATGAAAAGTTCGAGAGAGTAGTCAAGTTGAAATTTAAGAATGCTTCCTAAAATGTGATTTCCTTAAAAACCCTCTAAAACAAAGCCTCCAACGATGATAACTATATAAACGAATCTTCAGACAACAAAATATCCCTAAAAAATATCGAGAGACAAAGAAGCTTCCTTAAAAACGATGTCCCACACCTTAAGGAAATAGCCTCAAGCCTTTAAAACACCCCCCCACCCCCCCCCTGCCACACAAGCTGATGTACCAAAGCTGTATCCAAATTTCGCATCGAGTAGCAGCTATTGAAACTTCTACAGTATGTACCGAACTAAACAAACAATATACTGGAAATACTCTGCGACATTCAACGCCACAATATCCTGACTATTGGGGGGGTCTGATAAATACCCTTTGTGAACCTGTGCTAAGGATGAGTAGGAAGTGCACAAGAAACTAGCTGCTGAATGTGGGGAAAATTCAATTATCACACACACACACACAAAGGAATTCTCTCAAGTGCTAACCTTCGACAGCGGTGAAAGCCAAGGTAGATATCCCACAAAGGAACATGGAAGCTTGACACAGGTATTGGCGCCCTACCCTGCATTCTGTGTTCTTCTGCAGCACCACGAACCCGAAGGCGCAGCACCCTATCACCCAGCCTAGCCCCAAGTACGTCTGCAGCAGGAGTACTGACACCTCTCCAAGCCCTTCCTCCTCCGCCTGGTGTGCCTGTTAAGAGAGGGCGGTGAAGGTGGTTAGATTAGGTTAGATTAGGTTAGATTAGGTTAGGTTAGGTTAGGTTAGGTTAGGTTAGGAGACATTCTTGTAGGGAACCAGGAATAACCAATTCAACCAATTAATCATACAGCAATTTAACGGACTGTATGGTGAAGAAAATCCGCTATATCGAATGTCCGTTAGATGCGAAAATCCCATCTAACGGATTATATAGAGAGAAAAATCCGTTATATGGAGGTTTTACTGTAACCCAATTATCTCTGTAAAGTCGAGACATTAACCAAAATAAAGACATTTAATAAGACATATTAGACTAGCAGATGAGACACAGACATAAACACTGAGAGAAAGAAATTACTAGTAGTGTTGAAGGAGGGAGAGAGAGAGGAAAAGGAAGGAGAGGAAGTAAAGAAGAAGAGACGAAAGAAGAGGAAGGATAAATAAAGGAACAAAAAACACACACGACAGGTGGTTACAAAGATAAAGACAGATAACAATAGATAGACAGGTAGATACACAAAAACTGAATAACACATACATACAGACAGACAGATAAATGAATACAAACACATACAGATAGATACGTATACAGAGACAGATACACAAATACAGAGATCGAAACGCAAAAAATAAACAAATTAAATAATAACACACACACACACACACACACACACACACACACACACACACACACACACACACACACACACACACACACACACACACACACACAACTACTACTTTGTTGTCACTCGGAATCGAGTATGACAATCGTCCAGCTATGATACAATGATATGAGTTATTAGGGATGTCACCTAGTTTTGAGGTGACTAAAGAGACCGATACGGGACCGGCAGCGTCGTCCACATTCGTTGCACATGTGGAGGGCTCCAACTACTGTGGGAGGGGCGGTGGCAGCTTCTTTCCGACGTTGGCGCTTGTCTGCCTTGGTTTGAAGTCGGGCTAAATCGAAAGAATTGACATCTTCTCGTGTGGTGCTTCTCCAAGCGTTACGATGTGGAGTAATCGAGTCCCAGGTGAGGAGGTCGATTTGCCACCTTTTCAGGTTTGTCGTAAGACTATCCTTATACCTTTTCAGTTGCCCGCCGGCGTTACGTTTACTATTCATTAGGTGACTGTAAAGTAACTGCTTTGGCAGTCTACTGTCGTCCATGCGGGTAACATGGCCAGTCCAACGTAGTTGTTCATGGATAATGGTAACCTCGATGCCCCTACAGTTGGTGTCAGCAAGAATACTGGCATTTGTTCTCTTGTCTTCCCAGCGAAATCGGAGGATGGAACGTAGACTACGTTCGTGAAAGTTTTCAAGTGCCTTGAGGTGCCTCCTGTATGTGACCATTGTCTCACTGCCAAATAGTAGGGTGGGTAGGGCCACTGCTCGATATACGTGCAACTTTGTAGATAATTTTCAGCTCCCTACAGCTGAAGACACGATTTCGGAGTCCGCCCAAGGCTTGAGATGCACATCTGATCCGAAGATGAATCTCTTCATCGATGTTTGCGGTGGTAGACAGGTGGGAGCCGAGATACCGAAAGTGGTCAACATTAGAGAGGGTAGTACCGTTAAGATGGATGGATGGTGGAGGTGTGTCTGAACCAAGGGCAGGTTGATAGAGAATCTGAATCTTACGTACACTCGCAACAAAAAGTATCGGTGCATACTGTAGTGTGAGCAATTTGAGACCAGTGACGATAGGTATTGGGAAAGGCGAGTTGTTCCAGCCGTATGTTGGCAGCCCTGAGTTGTGGTGCAGCGTGGACGGCCGCTCTGAGACCTGTCGTCCGTAGCGCCAGTTTCGAGGTATCGCCGAATCCATCGTGCAGCGGTGTTCCTGTGGACACCAACCCGCTGGCTAATATTTGTGACGCCGAACCCTTCGTTATGAAGGGCAATAATAGCTCCTCGTGTTTCCTCTGAGGTTTCCATGTCGTCTGGCATGTGTAGATCTCTACTGCTTCATATTGCCTCTGTTTTATACCCACGTTCACCGAGACCGAACCCTCGCTCATGATTCAGTCGACACAAAGCAACAATCCGAAAAGAGGAAACAAACACACTGATTGTCAGCCATATGGCAACACCTAGTGGAGGGGGGAGGGGGTTATGAGGATACACTTACCAACCTTCCCGACATATCACAGTATATACGTATCGTTTCGAAAGTCGTCGATCACACCCTGCACCGATACTTTTTGGTGCGAGTGTACAATCACCTCAAGGCTGAAGTGTGCATACGAGTCAGCATAGGTGTTCAGGATCTCCTGTAGGTCGTGTTCAGTGTGAGCAACAAGGGTGAGGTCGTCTACATACTGAAGCTCAGTAATGGAAGCTGCCGACACCTTTGTTCTTGCCTGGAGTCGTCTTATGTTAAAAAGACCCCCTTCACCCCGTACTCGATGTTCACCCCGCTGGCTAAATGGGCACTGGCACGAGTAAGGAAGGCAGCCAAGAAGAAGGAAAAGAAGGTTGGTGCCAGTACACACCCTTGTTTAACTCCTGACATTCCATGCAGCGACCATAAGAGGTTGTATGGTTTGTTACACACACACACATTCACGCTGACTGACATACTGTATATAGACGCCCCCTGACCTGAACATGTTAAGGGCATTGCTGCAGTAGATTACTCAAAGGATTCTTATGGGATGGCAAGTCAAATTTTCCTTTCATTGGAGATACTAGATTAACCAGGTATATTATTGACTAGGTATATTACTGACCAGGTATATTACTGACCAGGTATATTACTGGCCAGGTATATTACTGACCAGGTATATTACTGGCCAGGTATATCACTCACCAGGTATATTATTGGCGTGGTGATGCCGAAGGACGATAGGCCGATGGACACAAGGAGGATCTGGACTGTGCGGCTCTTGAGGGTGGCCACGTCGAAGAAGGGCGGCTTGTCGTCCGGCCTGTTCTTCTCCTTTACCTTCCTCTTCTGGTTCTTGAGGTGGAGGATGGCCCGGCGCTGAGGGTGGTAGAGGGACGCCGAGCGGTAGAATGTCCCCATCAGGAAGGTGAGGAAGATCACTCCGGTCACCGCCTGTAGCCCCAGACGCCACCCGATGGAGCTGAGGAGAAATGGGAGTGTGTGTGTGTTAGACTGTGGGAGCTTCTTGACCCTCAACACCGCCAGTGACAGAGTGTGTGAGTGTTGGAGGGAGGCAGGGAGCAGGTAGGGAGGGAAGTAGGGAGGGAGGTAGGGAGCAGGTACAGGCAGGGAAGGATGCAGGGACATTTTTCTGGGACACCCTATATATGTTCAACAGGTAAAGGAAAACTCTCTCAAGAAACTCATTGGTCAAAAGAAAATTAATTTGAGGTATTTCATGGATCAAAATTACCTAAACCCCCACCACATACACACACCTACACCCCTAATACACCCACCTACACTCCCCAGACCCCCTACATACATACATACATACGACCGTACAACACTGGAACACATTATCAAGGTTATCTCATTGTTTCACCTTGATCCAGAGAGGAGAAACAGGCTAGAGAGAAGAACTGAGATATATAGAACCAATAAACATGAAGAGATGGAGAAAAAATGAGAAACGGGAGGAGACAGAGGAGGAAATAAATGTCTGGAAGGAACAGCCGGACACAAGAAGGAAAACGAGAGAGAGAGAGAGAGATACGGGACAGTGAGGGTGTGGGTATGGGGGAGGGGGGGGAAGATGAGAGGAGGGTAAAAATGAGAGAGGGAGAGAGGTAGGAGAAGTGGTTATACAGTATATCACAGAGGTGCTTCAACCTGCTGGCGAAGGAGGCGTGACAAAGCGGGTGTCAGGCACAGAGAGATGACGACCTACCTCTACACACACACACACACACACTGATAAGTCCTAATGCCTCGCTAACATCCCCAAGACACAATTAAAATCATTAAGACCTAAGTAAGAAAATATGAAAGGACTGAACCCACAGTACATACCACCGAGTTTATTGCATCATTGTCTTTACATCCGTGTATCAACCTTTATTGTCCTCTCTCTATATATTATATTCTTGTTTGTTTTATATCGTATTAATTTTATGTTCTTACTTTGTTGATTTATTTTTTTTTTTTATCTTTTCTTTTGTTTTTGAATCAGTAGGTTTCGTCTTGAGAGCAACTTTCATCTTCCCGGGAACCTGACAGATTTACCAGCGTCGGGAGCAGCGCTAATGAAGGAGGGCCTCTAGTGTGATATAATTGAAGGCCAGGGTAGAGTAGGGTGTGGTAGGGCAGGGTGTGGTAGGGTAGGGTAGGGTAAGGTAAGGTGAGGTAGGGTACTAAGGGTAAGGTAAGGTACTGTAGGGTAGGGTACTGTAGGGTAGGGTACTGTAGGGTAAGGTACTGTAGGGTAGGGTACTGTAGGGTAAGGTACTGTAGGGTAGGGTACTGTAGGGTAAGGTACTGTAGTATAGGGTACTGTAGGGTAGGGTTGGGTAGGGTAAGGTAAGTTAAGGTAGGGTAGGGTAGGGTAAAGGAAAGACAGGGGAGAGCAAGGACACGGTAGGGGCATGGTAGGGGAGGGTAGAGGCAGGATTATTTAAGGTCAGGGTAGAGCTATACGGCCACCCATCTACACTGTGAATTATACGAACCTCTTGTCAGCAAGCCTCCCACAATGCACCACTCTGAGAACAAGTTTGATCACAGCTCCCGGTTAGAAATATCACCACAGTTAAGTCATTCATCTCCCCTCCTTCCTTCCCCCCCCTCCCGGACCTTACCCAAGAAGCTACCTTTACCTGGGGAAATATATATATATATATATATATATATATATATATATATATATATATATATATATATATATATATATATATATATATATATATATATATATATATATATATATATAGTCAGCCTGGAGAAACACGTTCTTATAATGTGCAGAAATTCCTAAGATAAAGACCATTACGAGGAGAGCTTAATGGCTGAAAATGACCGAAGCAAAAATATTAAAGGATGTACTGGGTCCGGGTGGGTTAGGTTAGGTTAGGTTAGGTTAGGTTAGGGAAGAAAGAGGGCGAGTGAGAGATGTGAGCAAACGGTAATCCACAAGACGGGAGATAATGAGAGAGAGGAGATAATTTAACCGAAGGGAAAGAATTGGGAGTTATATCGCCATAATTCGTGTGCCACTTAAGACAATTATAATGAATGGGAACGACTTTGGGGCGTGAGGGGCGGGAGGGGCGGGAGAAGGGGGGATGGAATGAGGGTCTGTTCTGGACTTCTGGAGTACGTTTTGCTGGGAGGTGGTGAAGGAGAGAGGATTGGCTGGCTGGCTGGCTGGCTGGCTGGCTGGCTGACTCCCTTGTCGTCCACGCGGGTTTAATTTTATTGGGGGTCGTCCAGCCAAGGGGAGAAAAAAAGACCCTTCAGAGGTAATGGGCTCCAGCAAGACGACTTTACGAGATATGGACCACTCGACTGGCCATTTTCTAAGGGGACTGGACCGCTTCGGTGTGTGTGTGTGTGTGTGTGTGTGGACCATGTTTTAGGATACTGGACCACCTATATTTTAGGAGAGTGGACCGACCTTATTACAGATCAATGGACCGTACACATTTAAATCTAGGCAAGTGGACCACACTCTCTTCCTGATTTCCAGACAGTCACACACTTATTTATTTTTTATTCATATGATAAATAATTCCCTTCAAGAGGTCTACAGGGAGAGAAATTCCGTTATATCGATAGTATTTTATGTGTGAAACCTCCATAAAACGAATTATATAGATATGAATTCCGTTATATCGAGAGTCCCTGACAACAGTAGCTACCAACACCCACTGACAACCTCGTGACAACAGTAGCCACCAACACCCACTGACAACCTCGTGACAACAGTAGCCGTTTTCTCTCGCACACACCCCCATTTCCTTCCACACCCTCACGTGACCTGACAAGAGGCTAGCGTGTTGGCCAGGTTTCCTCTATCACCTCTACTAATGACCCTTTTCCGCTAATCACCCTCATTAAAGGATCATTAGTGGTTTTCCGAGAGCCTAGGGGGAGAGGGTGAGGAATGGAGAGGTAGAAGGGGAGGTGGGTGACGTATGTTCAGTTTATTTTGATGTGTAAGTTGTATACATATGTGTGTATATATGTACATCGCTATCCCACAAAGTTACAAACAATGTTACCAACATCATTACGTTGTTGTGGATCCATAGCAAACAGCTCTCCACTCGTTCCTCCAACCCTCCCTCCGTTCCTTCACCTCCTCCCTCAGTCCTCCACACCAACACCGTATACAGTATATGATCACTGAGAGTTTCCTTCACTCACTCATCTTTATTGCCTCTCATTTCTCTCTCTCACTTCGTCCAATTCTACCTTCCACAAATTTATCTCCTCCTCCTCCTCCTCCTCTCCCTTATCATTCGTCTTCCTTTCCCTCTCAACCATTCCGATTTTCCTGAGGTCTTGTTCCTTTAGTCCAGTCTATTTTACCTTTAGTTTTACTGTCAGTCTGTCTGTCTGTTTTTCTCTCTGTAACTGTATTTCTATTTGTAATTGTCTTTCTGTATCTCCCTCTTTCTGTCTCTTTGTCTGTCTGTCTTTCTCTCTGTCTTTCTCTCTGTCTGTCTCTGTCTCTTCTTTAACTAATGTACACTGTTTAATGTTAGTCTCTCTATCTCATTAATTATTCCCAATGTTTATTTGTAATGTTTCCTGTATCTTACTTTACGTTAATCTTAATCCACCATATTCTACTAGTGAAAAATTTCCTTCCATATTTATAATCTACATTTTTCATTCCAAATTTTTCTAACACGTGAATTTATATAATCAATACCTAGCTTCTCTTATCTAATTAATTCATATAGCATCTCTTACTTAACTAATTTACAATGTTTATTTATATTTTATTAATTTTTATTTGTTTTTATGAGTATTTGTATTAATATTCTCCAATGGTTTTAATTTATACTCAGCATATCGGACAGATCAACCCAAAACACAACTAATTTAGGGATATATATATATATATATTTTTATTTATTTTTTTTTTTTTTTGAGGGGGGGTGTTGATAGGTAAGGTAGGGATAGGTAAGGTAAGGTAAGGTAAGGTAAGGTAAGGTAAGGTAAGGTAAGGTAAGGTAAGGTAAGGTAAGGATAAGTTGGGTTAATTTTCAGGTGATCTTATTTTTCTAATCTAATCAAGACGCTGGGCCAACACGGTGTGGGCCAGTCATCTGCTGATCTTCTGTTCTTCACACCGTCTTATCTACACCACTCTGACCTCTTGATAACACGTATGACTCTTATAGTGGACCAACTTGACAAGGGGGCGCTAGTCCCTGTTCACCTAGCAGTAAAGTAGGTACCTATTGTAAGTCGAAAGTTGCGAATTAGTATTCAGGGAGTTGTTGGAGCTTCCAATAACTTGATGACATACACCATTGACTCTTCAGGCTTCTACGCCCTCGACTCTTCAGGCTTCTACGCCCTCGACTCTTCAGGCTTCTACGCCCTCGACTCTTCAGGCTTCTACGCCCTTAACTCATGAGACATAAAGGCAAGCATGAACTTAGCATGCTTCCCTGTTGGGCGCTGTAAACGCTTCTGCGCTTCACCTTGCACAGGGTGTAAGGGGGTGCCCAATAAACTAGCCCCCTTGTGGGCAATCTAATCTAACCAACTTGACATATATGAGGGTGAGGAAGGGTCTCTCTCTCTCTCTCTCTCTCTCTCTCTCTCTCTCTCTCTCTCTCTCCACACCCCCTTCCTTCCTTTCTCCCTCTCTCTCCGTTGCTCCTACCCTCCCTTTTTCCCTCTCTCTCCCTTGCTCCTTCCCTCCCTTTCTCCCCCTCTCTCTCTCCCCCCCTCCCTCATTCCATCTCTCTTACCCTCCACTCCCATTCATCTCTCTTTCATTCCTACCCTCTTTTCCCCCCCTCTCTCTCCCTTGCTGCTACCCTCCCTTTCCCCCCTCTCTCTCCCTTCCTCCTACCCTTTCTCTCCCTTCCTCCCTCTCACATCTCTCTTCCTCCCTCTCAATTTTCTCGACGCTGACCAATAGAAAGATAGGGATGACACTGATGATCAATGCCCTCCACTAACAACCTCCATCTCTGATCACACATGATTCCTGATCACCCGTGTCTCTATGTTTGATGGGAACTGATTTTCCTCATCATCCCTGCTACCATCTTTTGATCAGATTGGTTTATTATTTGATTTATCTCTTTCTTTCTTTATTATTATCGTTTTATGTTGTTTTTCTTTTATCCTCCGTCTCTCTTAATTCTGATTCTTGGTTTTCTCTCTGTGTCTGTTTGCTCATAAGCGTGTGTGTGTGTGTGTGTGTGTGTGTGTGTGTGTGTGTGTGTGTGTGTGTGTCCGATGGGCTTGACTAATAATAATATCAACACAAATGATATTAATATAATAAAACAAATACTAAATATAATTATAAAGGTAATATTAATAAAAAACAATATAACTCCCTCACGTAAAAAAAAAATATCAGTCACATTAGGAGATACAAGTTTAGTCAAGGTAAAAGTAAAGTCTCTCAACTCACCCTATTGCTCCTCGGATGAATACAGACATAACAGTAATGCCCAGGCCACTACCGCTCACCACGATGATCTCCACGAACTCTCGCCGCCTCTTGAAGTACTGACCCACCATCAGCGTCGAGGAGTCCCGAGTCATGCCCACCCCAATACCTATAAGGGGGAGAGAAGAAGGAATACATTTTTTCATGAAGTATCTACCTTTTCTTTTAGGGTAGAAAAAAAAAAAATAATGTAACTCAATAAACAGTATAGTCTGCCCTCATTTTATAAACGTTTTCTTTGGAAAGTTGGTAATTCTGCCTTCAGGTGGCGCCACGGTCTCGTTATGGCAACTTTTTAAAACATATTGGTTAACAGGAAGAGTTATACTTCACTATTGGATATTCCTTGGTGATGATTTTAGTACGTGTCTAACTAACAGTCTTCTTGGAATTGTTAAGAATCGCCACAGTATCTAACTAAACAAACCATATCAAGGTACCGTATCCCTTATCAGGCATCAGGACCCCAAGACCCACTTACCTATGACAGTCCCGTAGCTGAAGAAGAGCTGGTGGAACTGGCTGGCGAAGGAGGTGAAGAGACAGCCTAGGGCGGTGATGAGGCCCCCTAACACCGCCGTCAGCCTGGTAGAGTTCCTCCGACACACAGCGATGGTGAGGGGTGACACCAGCAGCGCCACCGACGTCGACAACCCCCCCAGCCAACCTGTAGGGGCAGGAGGATACGGGGGTGAGATATATGGGGGGAGAGGTGAGATATATGGGGGGAGAGGTGAGATATATGGGGGGAGAGGTGAGATATGGGGGGAGAGGTGAGATATATGGGGGGAGAGGTGAGATATATGGGGGAGAGGTGAGATATATGGGGGAGAAGGAGATATATGGGGGAGAGATAGGTGAGGCAAGGACGGAGGAGGGTGGAGGGAAAGAGAGGGGAGGAGGAAGAAAGGAGGGAAGAGGAGGAAGGTTATGGTAGGAGGAGGATGTGGGAGGGAGGAGAATAAAGGAAGGAGAATGGAGGAGGGGAGGAAGAGGTAAGATAGGGGGAAGAAGTAGTGGAGAAGGGACACCAGATGATGGCAGCAAATAACAGTGAATAGCAAAAGAATAAGTAAATAAAGATGGATAAGTAAAACTGCAATAATTGGAGACTAGAAGAAAACGTGATAAAACACACACACAGATAAAAGAGAACAATACAACACAATAAACGAGGAAAATGAAACAAATTACGACGACAAGAAGTGACAAAGACACGATAAGGCAGGACACAGAAACAGACTTTAAGAGACGTAAGGAGGAGAGAGAGAGAGAGAGAGAGAGAGAGAGAGAGAGAGAGAGAGAGAGAGAGAGAGAGAGAGAGAGAGAGAGATCCACTATATCAAAGAAATATATGCACTATTATATATTAAACGATATATTAATCATATTCTTATAAAAAGACGAAAGCTAAGGTGCTTCTGTGTGGTCTTATCTATATATATAAATAAATATTTTTTACGGGCATTAGTTCACCTGGGCACAGGTCATTTTATAATGACCCACATCAAGGCCTGAGGGGATATAAAATAATAATGATAATAAAATGAATAAAAATTAATACAAATAAATAATTTACAATAAAAGAAAATATTAATAATACTATTAAAATTAATAATAACATAAAGGACCATAAATAAATACAAAAATTAAAAACATCAACAGTGAGACACGATATATGTCAGTTGTGTTGTCAAAGTAAGAGAAACAATTGAGACCCAGCAACTGTGTGTAAATGAGGCAGAAAGTCAGATCATCAACCTGGGACTTGGTCACATATGGCAGCAGGGTCTACCATTAGACAACACATTATGCTTCCAATATCTTCCCAGGTGGTAGTACCTCCCTGTTTGATAGCTGCCTACCACCTACTACGCACCAGATCAATAATAACAATAATAATATCTACAAAAATAATGGTGCTATTACGATCATTAACAACAAAATCAATAACAATTATGGTACTACTACTACTATTATTAGCAACAACACAAGAGGCAGTACTGTAGTGGAGAGTGAAGCCAACAGCGGTAACACACGGCTACTGACGGCAGCTCCCCGGCCTCCCTGTGATACAAGTTCCCCCATGAGATGCTTATCCTAACCTGAGCAAGTGAGTCATTTATCATGCCAGGCCAATAGGGACGTCAACTCCAGGTGGTGGGATGGGGAGAGGGAAAGGGGGTGATGAAAGGAGGGATAGAGTGTTAGAGATGGAAGAGAGGGAGGGGGTGGTGGAGATGGAAGAGAGGGAGGGGGTGGTGGAGATGGAATAGGGGAGGGGGTGGTGGAGATGGAAGAGAGGAAGGGGTGGTGGAGATGGAAGAGGGGAGGGGTGGTGGAGATGGAAGAGAGGGAGGGGTGGTGGAGATGGAAGAGAGGGAGGGGTGGTGATGGAAGAGAGGGAGGGGTGGTAGGGATGGAAGAAAGGGATGAAGTGGTAGAGATGGAAGAGAGGGAGGGGGGGTGGTGGAGATGGAAGAGAGGGAGGGGTGTGGAAGATGGAGATGGAAGAGAGGGAGGGGGGGTGGAGATGGAAGGAGGGGTGGTGGAGATGGAAGAGAGGGAGGGGGGTGGAGATGGAAGAAAGGGAGATGAGAGAGGGGAGGGGTGGTGGAGATGGAAGAGAGGGAGGGGGTGGTGGAGATGGAAGAAAGGGAGGGGTGGTGGAGATGGAAGAGAGGGGAGGGGGTGGTGGAGATGGAAGAGAGGGAGGGGTGGTGGAGATGGAAGAGAGGGAGGGGTGGTGGAGATGGAATAGGGGGAAAGGAGAGGTGGTAGATTGACAAACAAAAGAGAGAGAGAGAGAGAGAGAGAGAAACGAATGAACGAACGAGCGAACAAACGCGCACACACACACACACATCACCAATAACTCACAAGTCTAATTAATACCTCATTTTCCTTACTATAGGTCAAGATATACGAGAGGTAAACAATAAGACCACCTGAACTATTGCTGGTAATTAATCAGACCAGGTAAAGGAGGATCTATACACAGGTGGAAGAGGGAAATGATGAGGCTTTATGTTGTCCGTAAGAAGAAAACTCGGGTAAAGAATGTTGACAGGGGGATTTTAATAATGTTTCCATCGATTTAAGTAAGGAGTGAGTGAGTGAGTGAGTGAGTGAGCGAGTGAGGAGCGAGTGAGTGAGTGAGCGAGTGAATAAATCCCATCTAGCACGGATATACGTGTGTGTGTGTGTGTGTGTGTGTGTGTGTGTGTGTGTGTGTGTGGGTGTGTGTGTGTGTGTGTGTCCATTTATATCTACATACTAATATTTAATCTCTCTACCTCTCGTCTCATCCCTACCTCTACCTCTCTACCTCATCCCTACCTCTACCTCTCTACCTCATCCCCCCCCCCTCACCCCTACCACAGGTGCACTCTTAATTGAAAAGACTAATTTCACAATGTTGTGTTAAGCTGCTGGCCGCTCACCTAAGAAACAGCAGACAGGTAAAAAGAATCCGCTTAATTGCTTACATGATTCCCATCTCCAGGTAACGCTCAGGAAAAAAAAGGAGCTCGACTGATGGTGCAATCTAGTGTAACCGCGGGCAGCAGTAGGTAGTGGGGTGGGACAACAGGTAATAGGCAGTAGCGGTGCGGGGCGGGGCGGGGCTACCAACTTAAGTAAAGCCAAGAGACCGTGAAATTAGTTAAACTTTTCATCAAATGACTTAACGTCTCAAGTGAAAAAAAAAATATATAAAAATAATCCCTTCTTCAGATCTCTCTTCTTAAAACTTTTGGGTAAATTTAGTTGATACCAGAGGGAGGTTTGAGGCCTCTAACGTGTGGTAGTAATAGAAGAATGTTAAAAGACAATACCGATAGATAGTTAATAAAGAAAGAAAAGTACTATGAGGGGAAAGAATAACGTGAGAAATATTGGAGAAAAAAATAAGAAAATGGGATACTTTGGCCCTGTAATTAGGGGATGACGTGATAATGGTTGAGAGTGAGAGAGAGAGAGAGAGAGAGAGAGAGAGAGAGAGAGAGAGAGAGAGAGAGAGAGACCATCGCTACCAACACCTACAACACACACACAACACATCACGACCAACCCATGTATGTCAAACTCAGCAAGAACTCAAACACGATAGGTAAAGGAGGAGGAGGAGAAAGAAGAAGGAGAGGAGGAGGAGAAAGAAGAAGGAGAGGAGGAGGAGGGAGAGGTAGAGGAGGAAGAGGAGGAAGAGAAGGAATAGGAAGAAGGAAAAGGAGAGGAGGAGTAGGAAGAACTGCAACGTGTGGAAAGAGAAGGGATACGGATGGAAGGGGCGATTCAAATCACCCCTGGCAGAGAGATCGAGAGAGATTCAGAGTGGATAAAGGAAGATATATGGCAATAAACGGTTCCCGGGTCAGATATTGGGGAACGAAGAGAGCAGTGCAACGCTGTAATGGACCCGAGGTGGAGGGGGTGTTTTGCTGTGGTGTTCAGGGCGTGTTTAGGACGTGCTCAGGGCGTTAGGGAGAGCACAGAGTGGGGGAGGGGGGCAGGTAGGGTAGGTGGGTGTTCAGGACGTTAGGAGAGCACAGAGAGAGGGGGGGCGCAGGTAGGGTAGGTGGGTGTTCAGGACGTGTTCAGGACGTTGGGGAGAGCACAGAGAGGGGGAGGGCAGGTAGGGTAGGTGGGGTGTTCAGGACGTGTTCAGGAAGTTAGGGAGAGCACAGAGAGAGGGGGGGGGGGCAGGTAGGGTAGATGGGTGTTCAGGACGTGTTCAGGACAATCAAACAATCAATCAATCAATCAATCAATCAATCAATCTGTTATTTATCCAACATACATAAAGGATATAAAAAAAACGGAAATAATTACTGAAATGACTGCATAAGAATTCAACCTTTCATTTACTGTATAATGACAAAACAATTCTCAATAACAAAAACTGGATTTAAAAGTATCACAATCAACTCAAACTGTAAAACAAAAAAAAACAAAAAATCACGTCTTTATCATAAAATAAAAAATAAAAAAATAAAATAAAAATTGTACGAATATAATTTTAAACTCAGTACATGAAGAGTTAAAATATTATATACTGTATATTCTTCAACAAAGTTCCAATATCGACACAAAAAAGTGAAACGAATTTAATCCAGGTGTACATTATATTATATATAAGTTAATAAGAAACATCTAAATTATTCTCAAGTGTTCACCGGAGTAAAAACGGAACGAAATTAATTGAAACCATGTACGTACACATAAGTTTATAATGTAATTTAAAGTCTTTACCTGAGTTGCAGATATTTACAACAGTGTACAAGATGAGAGGGCAGTCTGAACCTCACCACCACAGCCTTACCTGCACCAACACACTCAGCCTACGGTAACACACGGGTCTGGGACGACACACATCACATCAAGAGAAGAACTCCACACTGCCAGCCATAATAATATTGTACATGTTCCCCAGGTCTATTATTTCCCGCGCTTACTGGTAATGAAATATCATGTCTTCAGTATCCTATCTAATTCTGGCCGGTGGGGATGTCAACGCTGATGATGATATTGCAATAATGGTCAATATGTTTTATACACACACACACACACACACACACACACACACACACACACAAGGTACAAGATGTATTATTATATGACCTGGTAACCACTGGCCACAATTCCATAAAAATGCAATGACAATTT